ATACGCAGTCAAAAGCTCACACTCAAGTCGGCGAAGCACACCTTTGATGTCTCACAACCTTGACCTCGACAGGCATGTTGAAGCATTTAGACACACGCTTGGGTACTTGATAGTTGAGAGCTTGTGCGGCGGGCGTGGGCGGCGGGCATGGCGGGCCAGGAGCATGTTGAAAAGAGTCACCTTTGATGTCGAGGTACTTCTGTCGAGGTGGATGAGCTAGGCGAACGACGATGAAAGAAGAAGGGCACGCACAGATCACACAGCTCGCAGCATTGACCTTGATAATTTGAGGTGCGGCGGCGTGGGCTCAGGTGCGCGTATGGTGGAGGACTTGAGCGGTGAACATGGCAGGCGGGTTGGACAGGCGGCATCTTGCACTCATCGTTGACGGATGTTGTCGACGGCGGTATGAGAGGGAGGTAAGCGGGGTAGAGGTAGACGAGAGGAGAGGCTAAGGTGAGAGGCTGAGAGGGTGTCGACCCCAGAGGAGGTTGAGGTCGGAGGTGGAACCCGCTGGGGATGGTGGTGGTCGAAGGTTATGAGACGATGGAGGAAAAGCGAGGCGGTAGGCGATCTTAAATAAGGTGGGCTGGCGGGGTCTGTTTGGTCCAGTAAACGGAGGCTGGAGGCTGGCGGGCCCCCTAAGACGCGACGCGTCGTGAACACGTGCGGCGGGGCGTGACTCGTCGATTAGCAGAGCAGATATTCATCCCGTCGCTGGCGGGACACCCTGAGCTCCGTCTGAGATTGTACCATCACCTTCGTATATCTCGCCTCGCCATAGAATAGCCTTCAGAGCCATAAGCAGCGGAAATCAATAGAAGTCGTTTCGCTCACTTTGACTGGACCCGCTTTATCTTGCCTTCTCCGATCTACACCGAAGGTCATGGTGCCCTGCAGCGAGACACTGGCATCCTCCCGCTGGAGATCTAACCCGCCGGCCGTAGAGGTACGTTAGGACATGCTTATAGAGTTCGAAGACATGGCGAAGCTTATCGAGAAGCGATTTTTGCCACCTAGTCTTTGGTATGAGCTCAACCAAGCGCGTACTCTTGTGGATCTCGTGGCGGCGGCGCAGGCGTCGTCGAGAAGTTTGGACAGTCGGGTGGGCTACAAGAATCCCAGCGCGCGAGCGCAAAATGAATTGAAAAGGGCAGTTATGTGGCCGAAAAGACAAAGCGCTGGCGGCAAATCCCTGGACAGACCCTCCAAGACTCACCGTCGTCGTCCTTCGCCCTTGCAATCATCCGCCTGCACAAACGGAACTCCCCAACAACTCGAGGACCCATCGGCACGAGGCCGACGTGCTCGTTTAAAAGCGATGGAGCCGTGTGGATTTGGATAGTAGCATCTCAACATCAATGAAGCAAAAGGCATGTGCTTTGGGTACTCCGAATCCAGTGGGGGCGGCCGATGTGCGTCTTCATGTGTCATTGAATCTTCATCGAGAGCATGCATTTTGTAGCACTTGGAGATGAAATGACCATAGATATGACCAAAGCTGAAACACCGCGAGCTGGTTAGAGGAGACCACGACGACTCCAAGAGACCCGGAGGCGACGCGGAGGCAGAACGGATCAGACATGGTCGGGGTTGCCACACGTGGTGGCTGTGCTCGGACGAAATCCCGCTGCCCTCAGGCTGCAGGTTGCAGCTTCAACTTGGTTGTGTCTTTTACAAAGTGCCGACCGCTCCCTGTTTCGATTATCAGACCCAGCACCATGGCAACAAAAGGAACACCTGGCAGGCATCCTTGAAGCAAACTATGACGGACGCACCGTAGCGTGCTCGTGCGGCGGTATGTCTGCAGATCAATTGGAAGCAAGCTCTGCAACATTTCGCTCGACGCGCAATCTAACGAGGTGCGTCGCTCTTCATTATATCTGGGGCACTTCTCTGATACGTATACAAGTAGAACTCACGGGTCTCCATTGCATATGTCACCACGAGCTGCCGAAGTCTTTATATCGACAGCCTGAGTCTGCGGAGTCCACTCGAACCGCCTCACCGAGTACGCTTTTCGCGGCCGTGATTACGGCAACATTTTATCCTTCGTACTAGAGGAATACGGACTTCATTTCCAGGGCGAGATGGGTGTGACCACGAGAACCGCATGCAGAGGATCGGCCAACCACATGATCGCCATTCTCACAGAGCGCCGCTCCGGCGAGCGGGCGTTCCGCACACAAGTGCTCATATCGTCCCCCGATGGCGCAAAACGCTCCTCCTACGCCCAATCGCGTTGACAAAGCTCTCCGGCGAGGCGAATAAATATAGGACTCCCTGCATACTTATAGCCCCGCTGACGACATCCACGATTAGGCACTACAGCGTATCCCCTGCACCTCGTCTTTGGCACTACGTATACTACAATATGGCCGAGGTTCTCTCGCCTCCAACGGCCCCCCACGACATCAGCACGACCCTCAACTACTTTGTCCCGCTCGACTCGAACGCGCCCTACGACTACATCTACGGCCCACCCCCGGGCGTCCCGAAGTCCAACATCGGCGTCGAGCCCTACCCGGCGGTAGTCCACGACGTGCGCGGCACGCCGCTCGAACACGGCGCCGAGCTCGATGTGCAGGGGTTCCAGTTCGTGCAGCATGAGAGCCGGGAGAAGGACTTTGTCGACGAGGAGGGGCTGAAGGGCGGGTATTATAAGGAAGTTGAGGAGCTGTTGTTGAAGGTGGTTCCGGGCGCGAAGCGGGTGCATGTATTTGATCATACCATCCGGTGCGTCTCAGCTTCCCCTCTTTACGAGCGACGAATCGAGCGGTCCCACAGGCGGCGCGAAGAGGATCCCGTCATTCGTGACCAGGGCGCCAGAGGACCTGTGGTACGTCTCATCATCGAGAACCGAAAAAAACTCGTCCATAAATATCCCATCCCCCCACCAGCTGCGAGTACACGTAGACCAAACCTACGACGCCGCGCGCGGGCGCGTGCGGCGGCACCTCCCCGACGACGCAGACCGTCTCCTGCAGTCCCGCGTGCGCCTGATCAACGTCTGGCGGCCGATCGCACACCCCGTGTACCACAACCCGCTCGCGGTCGCGGACTGGCGCAGCGTCGACCCCGCGGCGGACCTCGTGCACACGCGGTACATCTACCCGGACTTCGAGGGGTCGACGTTCAACGTCAAGTGGAACGCGACGCACCGCTGGTACTACCTCGCGCAGCAGCGGCCGGACGAGGTGCTGCTCGTGAAGTGCTACGACTCGGAGGAGGCGGACGGCGCGCGGAATGGGAATGGGAATGTTGCACGCGCGATTCCGCACAGCTCGTTTGTGGATGCGTCGAGTGGCCCCGAGAAGCCGCGCAGACAGTCGATCGAGCTGCGCTGTTTGGTCTTCGATGCTGAATAGATTCAGAGGCGTAACTTGTGTTTCCCGATCGAACAAGTGCGGGACAAATCTCTTCGAAATTCATTCTATGAGGAGTGTCAGCCTGTCAGATCAGGTTTTGTATTGGTTCATGTGAGTATCTCATGTTCGGGCGGAGGGAGACCATCGTGTACTTTGTTGAGAAACTTGTGAAAGCATCTTGATGACACTTGCGGGGTGCACATTTACATGTGCTGTAACTACGAAAGTTGATTTTAGAAGGAAAAAAACAACGACTCTGAGTCTCTCAACACTCCTTGGCGGGGAGTCGAACCCCGCTCTCCCGCGCACCTGAACAGATGACAGGCGGGTGTACTAGCCGATATACTACCAGGGATGACGAGAAAACTGAACTGTAAAGTAATATGACAGATTTAAAATAATTTTTGCCAGTTTCTGAGGTGCTTGCTTGCCTTGGCCCTGCCTATATGCTCTGTTCGTATCCGATATCTGTCGGCTGGGTCAACTATTAGTTCTCAGCAACTAGAGAAACAGTACTTGCTCCGGCTAGCTCGCATCTTTCCTACCGCATCGAGAGACTCCCAATTCGCCCAGTTCTTGTAACAGCGACCACCAATACTATATCCGTACCTGCCTCAACGCGTCCGTTCAGGTGCCCCAGAATTACAGCACGTCGGTCACAGATGACTCTCCATGTGCAAGCGTCTTCCACAGAGTGGCCTTGCTCTCGTAGTATATTCACCTGTAGTGACCTATCTCCCCACGGTAGTATCTTGCGAGCCCCTTCCGACGGCAGAATATCGTATACTCACCTCTGGATCGATAATCCAGCCACTCGTTCGCCGTCTCCCGTTTTCCAGGGCCGCGTCGCTCTTTCCAACCTCGCGGATCCCTCGGAGCATTACCGACGTCGCCAGCATAGGGTCACCGGTGCTAGTACCATTCCGTCTGGCTTCGAGCGGCCGTCGCGGCGATCCTGCTGCCGCCCTCCATATGCAGTCGGACAAATTCTGTCACCGACGACAGGAGGCATGGTTGAGAGCACGGTCAGGACCGGTGCGCAATTGAGGCTTAGGTGTGTACCTGCCTCTGGAGCACAGAGCGGCGAAATTTCGCAAATCAACAGCCCGGCGCACTAGTCGAATTTGTGCGAGCTCCGAGTCGAGATTCGTCTGGCCGTCAGAGTCGCGCGGTGCAGCTGCAGCCGTCAGACGTAGCCCGCCATATCGTGACGTCGACGTTGACGAGCCCCATGCGTACTTGCGGGCGAAATTACTGCGAGAGCAGACCTCGAGCTAAACGTTTCAGATCAGACGTATGTGTGCATTTGGGGGTACTGGTACTGACGCGCGGCACAGAACTTGAGTGATCTATACGAGTGCTAGATCGCTCGTATCCACTACAATGACAGTCGAAGTCTGAATCTCCGGGATCTTGTGGCAGGAGGAGCCGGATCCAAGCGATATTAATGACAAGTGGAAGCTAGATCGCCACAAGAATGATGCAGGGGGGCGCTTATATGGAGCGTGGGGTCGAGCAACCAGGACGGTTAGGATCAGGAACATTGCGATCTAGTACTAGTGCCCGGCAAAGAACACGAATACTCTGGGCCGATATTATGGTCTATTATCTCAATAGCGTCAGGGAACTATATCCCGTTTAGCTCAGCTGGTAGAGCGCGTCACTAGTATCTTGAGTTCACAGCTCTTCCCTAATGACGAGGTCAGTCGTTCAAGTCGGCTAATGGGAATCAACGGTATCGTACCAACCTTTTTTCCCTCTTATACCCGTGCTGAGCACCAGGGACAGTTCGACTCGGAGTGCCTTGTTCCAGTTCAGCGCTCGCGGAAAATTCGCCTCAGGTCATGAATTCGGTCATGCATGATGCAGACATCGTCTCGACGAGCACGGAATGCGTGGCCTCGAAGCAGCGCGCTTGAATCGTCACGAGGCTGTCAGCCTCTCTTGTGCAAACACGAACAGACACTCCGAGCACTAGTCGCCAGCCTCCCGCCCTTCGTGTATAATGCCGTCCTTCTGTATATGCTTCATTTCCTTCGTTTTCTTCGCTTCCACCATCATAAGACCGGCCTTTGGAGGCGAAGTGACCGCCGGCGCCGGGGAACGCTTCGTAGGGACCGCGAGCGCGACCGCGGTACTTGTACGTGTCTTCTGTTTTGCCGCCGTCTATCTCACACAACCGTCTTGCATCTCCACGATGAACATCTCCATCTGCGCCTGTGGGGACGACAACGACCCACGCGAACCCCAAATATGATGTACAATTACACCCTCGACTGAGCGGGCACGGGACACACTATGACTTCGTACGTCCTCGTATCTTCCCTATATGCCTCAGTAACGACGGCGGTTCGTCTAGTTTATGCTTTTTTTACATGTTCACCAACCCGCCGCCGTCGGAAGACTTCCGCCTGGTCGCAGTCGCTCAAACCATCCTACGTTGCTCACCATCCGCCGCATGGCTCTAGAGGTCATCAGAGCCATGCGTGCATTCCGCGAAGCAAGCATATCCTTCTATGACTGGACGACGCTAGGGGGGCGTCAGCCGATACCTCGCTATTTCAAGTCTACGCTACCGTAACCAGCTCTCGCCTATCAGCCACGCCAATAGCGCATATATGAACGCCGTCCATCCTATTCGTCACATCCCAGGATAATCTGGCCCTCTCCCCCTACCGCTTCGTAGAACGTCAGTCAACGCACTGGGACGGCTGCATGGCGATCCACTCCTGCCGCCATCTCTCCCCTTCCCATGCCACGCCTCGACCCACGCTACGAGTCCTGCTTACCCTCGACATCTCAGTTTGCGCCGGACAGTAAACTTTGCGGAACCTTCCACACTGGCCACACCTATCAAACACGTTCCTTCGCTCCTTCTCCATCTCATGCCTTATGCACCAGCGCTCCCAACTCTCGCATCCTAGGCTCACGGAGATCTGAAATTGAAGACTTCTTTCCAAGAGAAGCCGAGACGACGGCTTACTATGACGATAGGCCCTTGAGTTGGGTGGGTTGGGTCAGCTGTCGACTTGGGAACTTCCGCATCTATTGCTTTACCATTCATCCTCCCACCTCTACACTTCGGACTGTATGATGGCCTTCACACCCATCGGAAGGCGCTCACAACCCTGGCGGCGACCGGTTCCCATCCCGCTGCGACTTTGTTCCTCACCGCAAGCTTCAACCCGCAAGTCCCGTTTAGCTCAGCTGGTAGAGCGCGTCACTAGTATTGCAAATGACGAGGTCAGTCGTTCAAGTCGGCTAATGGGAACTCAGGGAATCGACACACGATATTTTTTGCGATGAAACAAATAAGTTTGCAGGTATCCCCGTGCAATTGCAATTTTCCCCCACTATGCGCGCGCGCGTCCATGTGTCTCCGTCAAGTGATACTTACCCATGCACACATGCCTCCTTCTCAACAGTTTTCACGCGCGTGCGGGGTGCTCATGTGTGCTGGACCCCGTAGGTTTCATACGCGGTGTCCTGGGCAGTCACTCGTATCGGCAGAGTACCCACACCAATCAATAATTTAGACTTGGTGCGTTTCTACAGTCAACCACTGTGTATACACCCAAAACTAATCTGCACCGCGGCTGACCACCAGCTATAGCCAGCGTACACGATCCTCACGCACGCACGCACGCACCCACGCCCGGAGCCACATATGTGCACAATGCTGCGAACTTCCCCGCCGGTATGTTCGATCATACGTTCCATACCGTTGCTTACCATCTGACAACTAGCCAGATTCATAATATATGGGCCACCGTGCCCTTCACACACAATCCCGTTTAGCTCAGCTGGTAGAGCGCGTCACTAGTACTTTCCAAAGAGTCGAGTCTAATGACGAGGTCAGTCGTTCAAGTCGGCTAATGGGAACTATTCCCAGCCGCTATGGCTTTTTGCTTTTTCTTGTCGGTGGGTGGTGGGCCAGGCTGCTCAGTGCGTGCCTCCGAGAACGCAGCGTCGAACACTGAACCGCACTTATCCCTTTTATCCTGCACTCGCGTCCGAGCCGCGGGTTTTGATACTGGACAAGGGACCTAGTCTCCTCCATCTATGCCGTACCAAGCCTCTTCCAATTGTGAGCCGCCGCAGTCGTTCTGGCCAGCATGCGCAACAGCTACTCATAAGGCCCGTTCCGAATCTCGAAGCATCGAAGCATCGAAGTTTGGGACCAGAAACGATTCTGCCCGCTCCTGCGAAGTTTTACGGCTGTCGTCTCCCGCAAGTCTCCCGCCTCGGCGTTCGATATCTGCTCTTTGACCGTTTTCATTCCAACCGTCACTGGCACCGGCTTTCATCCCGCCTGCCACTTGCTACAAGGTTGCGCCTTATTCAACGGTGACACGGTACCTTTGCTACAAGCCCACTCCGCTGCGCTCGATGCTAGGCCGGGATAACCGAAGACCGAGATTCTGCCCCCCGCCATCCTGTCTTCTCTGGATTCTCCTGGCCCAGAATATGCCTGAAGGATCTGCGAGCAACGAATCATAGTCGACTTGGAGGGCTGGCGGGCGGCTGACATGCGTCTCGCGGGGAGACTGGCGACCGGCGGCAGGCTGGCGACCCGGAGTGTGCTGGTGACTGGGCGGCTGGCTGGTGGCTGGCGGGCAGCTGGCGGATGGCCGGAGACTGGCTGACTGCCGGTGGTGGCTAGCTGCCAGTGGCTGGCTGGCTGGCTGGCTGGCTGGCTGGCTGGCTGGCGGCTCGCAGCTCGCAGCTGGAAACTGGCCGCAGTCGACCGAGCATGCGGCTGAGATGCATCTCGATCGATGGCTACTTTGACCCTCTTCCGGGTGCGACTTAGACCCCGTCCCCCTCCCTCCTCTGCCACTAGTACTGAGGCCCCACACATGGATCCAAGCACACGTATCCGTCAAGCTTCGGTTAGAGCCGCGGGTACCGGGTACGGGCGCATTCTTCTAAAGAATCTGTGTCTGGGCGTTGGACGGTCGGCCTTTGGCAGCTGGCGACCGGAAGACGGCTGACTCGCTACGCCCGTGTAGCGGCGGTCACTGGTCGTCTCGCGCTCGCAGTACTAGTCTCCAGTGCGTGCCCGTGTCTACAGCGGGTCAGCACGATATGGCCGGCCGGCAAGAAGGGTCTGCGGCTGGCCGATCAATTGCGGGCTAGTTTTGTGCGGCCGGCTGGCGAGTAGTGGGGGCTGGCTGGCTGGCGAGCAGTGGGGGCCGGCTGGCTGGCGACGTGCGGCTGACATCTCGACGGCCACTGTCGCCCTCGTTCAGGCGGCTGGCAACTGGCGGCTGGGTGTTGGCCCACCTGGGACGGCTGACTGGCTGACTGGCGACTGGCGGCGACTGACTTTGGACGGCTGACTGGAAACGGTGGACGGCTACAGTGCTTTGCATATGTAAGTTGGGACGCAGTGGACGGCTGGCCGCGGCGCCAGCTCGCATTTCACAGAGCCCGCCCCGCCCGCATACACGCATACATCGCAGTAACCGCCTCCCCTCTAGAACTCCCTTTCCCTTCAAGTTTCCTTCCTTTCCTTCCTTTCCGGATCCATCCGTAGAACACCCTCCCTGCCCTTTCGAAGCAAAAGCAAAAAAATTTTGAATGTTGTCCTCCTCGAAATAGGGAGGTGGACAATGGCAACAACAACAACAACAACCCCCTCCTCGCGCCTGGCTGTCGCGCGAAAAAAAAAAAATTAGGATGCTCGACGCTTGTGATACGAGGCCGCTTCTCGAATCTCGAATCTCGACCCTCCGCTGCCACCTCCCAGCTGCGGTCCACTCTGCTCGACACACGCACGCATACACCTCTCCAGGACACTCAATCTCATCCATGAGCAACAGGCTACCCCTCGGGGACCGGTTGTCGCTTCTTGATTCTCACTTCCCAGTTCTGTGTAACCTCAGTATTGGATCCACTCCTAGTACACGTGGAGTGTACTAGTACTCTTATTTTAGGTTCAGCTTGGATACTCCAAGACGCGACAGATATTCAAGCCTTTGAAGAGCTGGGTATACTCGCCACGGGCTGCAGCACGTATGTGCATGGGTTGGGTTGGGTCGGGTCTCATCCTTGTCCTCGCGCTCGTTCTCGAGCACATATTTAACATTTTCGATGCTTTATTTGATGCTCGACGCAATGCTCGATGCTCGACTCGACACAGAGGTACACTCTGCCGCATCCTACGTGCGTATCAGCAGCCCACAGCTCCGTTCGAAGACGTTCGTCCCGAAACACCGACACCCAACACTCATCACTCAAGCTCAGCGTGCGCCCCGCTCTCTGATCTGCACCCCGCTCGCACCAGTGCGCCCTATCCTCCGTATCCTCTGAGCTCTCCTCTCATCCCGTTCCCGCTCGTACCGAAACACCGACACTCAGCACCCAGTACTCAGGCTCAGCGCCCCTGTCAATGCGCTCTACGCACGATGGCGATCCGCGATCCGCACCTCGCGAGCCCGAGCTCGCCGAGGCGGTAGGAGACGTGCCGTGGGGACGGAAGCGAGAGCGCGGGCGTCGAGCGGGGATGCTCGCGGCACGCGTCGAGAAGGAGATGAACGTCGAACGCATACGCGGCATCGAAATGGAGTCGCAAGCGTCGGGACAGGTCTGCAAGCGGGGGCGTCGGGAAGTGGATGAACGCGTACTGCTAGGCTAGGCGGCGGGCCCGGGCTGGGGATGACTCGGAATGCGCAGGTAGGTGTTGTGTTGTGTTGGAATGGGGATGCGGATGCGGATGTGGACCTAGGCGTCGAGATGGGGATGCGGGCGGGGGCGTCGAAGTGGATGCGGGTGGGGGCGTCGGAATGGGGATGCGAGCATAAGTATCAGAATATTTGGGGATGCGAGTGCACTCGGCGATCGAGCGAGTGCGTGCGTGCCAAGGTTCGTGCGGTCGTTTGGTGCCGGTACGAGAAGGGTCTTGGTCGATCGGGTGTCGAGGGTCGATCGGGCTTGGGAAGGTGCCGAAGGCGAGGTGTATGTGCAGGTTTGGAGTTCTATTACATTGGGTTCTGCCTGAGAATCTGCGTGCGTCGGTCGTACTTGCTCCGTGCCCCAAGTCAAAGACTCACCAACTCGGCGTTCACAACCCCACCGGCGCATCCCAGGTTGCCTGTCGTCCCTCCTCCACCCATCTCCCATCACACATCGCACCGCCGCCAACACATCCCCATCCACGCTCATGCCAGACGCAAGCGCGACGCGCGCGCCCCAGCTTATTATAAGCTTTGCCCATCCAATCGCCTTGCACCTATCAAACAGTATGCATGGGTCGAAACCAGGGCCCCGCGTACGTACGTACATACGTGTCATGCAGATCTAGACCGCCCATATATACTTATGCCTACACACTCGCGTGCATGTACATATGGATATGTGGCCACGGATCCCTGCGTTGTCTGCGTCCGCTTGTTGCCGGATCTCCGAACGGCCGTCGCTCGCTCGGGCGTAAGTAGATCTATCTTCGCGTCGTACCCTGATTATACTGATAATTAATTGTAATGCTCGTCGATCGAGGTGTTTAATTAGGGTTGCGGTCGTAGATGTGCGGCCGAAGACGATCGGAGGCGGGCGCTGAGAGCGAGAGGCGCGACATGCAGTACTTGGGGAGGAATCTAGTATCGAGGTGGGCGAGCAGAGGACTTGGACTCACAACGCAAATATATGCGTCACCCGTATCGCATATAGCCAGGAGCGAGACTCACCTCGAATACAGCAGCGCCGGCGGGACCCAAATATTGCAGACACGACGCAACCTGTCGGAAAACTTAAATTAGCATTATCATAGAAACCCATAATCATCGATATGATAATGACATGATAAGAGGCCTCGGATCATTACCATTACATGACCATGCAATCGAAATGATAATGGCCTATGGCAATGTAATTGCTTAATGGTAACGTATGATCATGAGATTAGATAAGATACCCCGCACCAATCTGCCCCGTGCCAAAGCCCAGCGCATTTTTCTCCTCCACCTCAGCTTCTCCCGCACAGCATCAAGGTTGAAGTCGATTGCGAACCTTCGGTATCCGCCCCGCTGAGTGTACTTTGGGCGCAAGCATTGCAATGCACGAGTATAGCTGCCAAAGAGCTTTTAGATGGTCAGATTTAGCAAAGAATCGGGAGCTTGCGCACGACACGCAAGATGTTCGGCTCGCGTAGCATGATCCTCATTGACGTGTATGTAACGAGTGAAGGAACGACATAGCCGCCACCCAGGGCGCGCTCAGTATCCCTCGTTCGGGCTGAGATTAGCCGCTGTCTTTCTCGCGCTCGAAGAGATTCCGCTAAGTGGCGCGCCTCTCGCGCACCTATCAGGTCTCATTTCTCGTATGTACCCACCACTCCAATCTCGTGTACAATATTTCAGCTGAGATCTGCTTCATATTGTCCCAGGAACACAGGATGTGGACACACAGTTGTGATGCAGCCCGCTCCGTTATGCTGTACTATTCGAGAGCCTTTCGGGCGAGACTGAAAAGTATTCCATAAGTGCGAAAAAGCGTCATATGGCCATGTTACTTTCTGTGTCTTATACAGCTAGCTGGCCTAGTGGTAATTATGCTCCGTACACTGTGGGCAACGTTAGGCATATCCGGCAGAAATAGTTTGAATTAAGTGAGAAATAATTACTATTTTCTTCAACATTTTTTCATCAGATATATTGAGATATAATTTCAAATATTACCACCCCTCATAACTACGGAAAAAGGCTTGACTAAATTCAAAATTTTATCAAACTATATGCTTCGAAAAAAATCACGACGCCGACACGACACGACGCCGACAAACGACTTCGCGAGTCCGCGAATCGGCTGTCGTGTCTGTTGCGATTGCAGACACGCGACTCACGACCGACATTTGAGAGTCGCATCCGACTCGTACAAATTGC